GTCTAGATCACACCATTTGTTTGTGTTCTCACAGGGAGTGATGGGAATCTTTTAAAAAAATTTTAAATTTATTTAATCCTCCCCCAAGGATATTTTTCCACTGATTTTTAGATAGATTGACGAGAGAGAGAGAGAGAGAGAGAGAGAGAGAAACATCGATGTGAGAGAGACACATCCATTGGTTGCCTCCTGAGAGACCCTGACTTGGCTGGGGTCAAACCTGCAACCCAGGTATGTGCCCTTGACGGGGAATCGACCCCAAGACCCTTTGGTCTGTGGGCTGACACTCTAACCACTGAACCAAACTGGACAGGGCTTTATTTATCAATTTTATAGAGAGAGGAAAGAAGAGAGAGAAACATCGGTATTTTTTTGTTGTTTTTCCCCTTATTTATGTATTCGTTGGTTAATTCTTCTATGTGCCCTAACCTGGATCAAACCTGAAACCTGGGTATATTCGGACAAACTCTAACCAACTGAGCTACCTGGCCAGGGCACCGTTGGAAATCTTGGAAGAAAGGGTTGGCTGAATTGACTTTTGGGAGTGATAGTGGAAATCAGTAAGTGCTCATCATGGCTCCCTGTCACCCGCAAGGACATGAGTAATGTGGGGTGTGGGCATTGAGCTTCAGGTGGGGCAGGAATGGTGATTGACAGCTTTAACCACGATTCATTTTGGTCTTGTACCAAATGCTTTCAGCCACATCAGCATACTGCCGGTAGTATGTTATCAATAATCATAGTACCACAGTTTGCAAATGCTTTCCCTCAAACAATTTCAAACTAAGAGAAAAGTTGCAAATACAGTACAAAGAACTTTGCCCCCCAGAACCATCTGAGAGTAAGTTGCCAACCTGATGTCCCATCATCCCTTAATACTCGAATGTGTATTTCCCACAGACAAGGACGTCCTCTTAGGTAACCTCAATAGAGCTATCCAAGCAGGAAACTGACACCAATACACGACTGCTATGTAGTCCTCCCAGCCCACCGAAGTTTTGCCAGATGTTTCAATAATTTATTTAATAGCATAAGGACTTGGTTCAGAATGACACAGTGTCTTTATTGTCAACTCTCTTTAGTCTCTTTCACTCTGAAACAGTTAGTCAGTCTTTTTTGACTTTTATTACCTTGAGACTGAAAGTTTGCAGCTATTTTAATGTTTCTGCATGATGCTTCCTCGAATGAGATTCAGATTACGCATCTTTGGCAGAAGTATTGCAAATGTGATGCTGTGTTCACCTCATTGTATCTGATCAGGTGGTATGTAATTTCAGCTTGTCCTGTTATTGACGATGTTCACACTGATCATTTGATTTAAGGTCGGTCTGCATGCAGTGTTGCCTTTGTAATGAGTGAGCATTTTGTGGGGCAGATACTTTGAAAATATGTAAGAATTCCATACCTCGTCAAAATACCAAGTGATTCTTTTAGATCAGTGTGGACTCATGGTTTCCCGTTTGTCCAGTAGGTTATAATCCATCATTATAATTATTTGTTTTGATGCTTAAATTGTCGTGCATTGGGCCAATGTGGGCCACTATATGCTGGCCTGTGATATACTGACATGGTCCCATCATTTTTGAAAACTTGCTTGTTTTCTGGCACCAAACAATTTTCCGAGATAATCTAGTACTTTTCCTGTTCTAGCCAGGAAATCAGCCATTTTTCAAGGAGTCCTGGTTGATTTTTATGGAGAATGTTACTTATGCCATGATCTGAGTGCTAGAATTGGAAATGTGTGTGTGTGTGTGTGTGTGTGTGTGTGTGTAAAACCACGAGGTCGCACCAAAATTTCTAATTTTAATTTAAGACCATAGACTCCATTCCAGTTTTCTCCCTTCTTTACCTGCACCTCTCATCTCTGACATGGAGCACCTGGCTCTTCTTACCTGCAATAGGCTGACTTATTTTGTTAATCCCCCTGTATGCAACCCAACTCTGCTGTGGCTGTGGCCCGAGCTCTGTGGGGACCGCCTCCTCACTGACGCAGGCCACACCTGAGCCACGGCGGCCCTCTGCATGCACACCTTACTCCCTCTACTTGGGCCTGGCACCCTATCATGACCTACCAAGTCCCCCCACCTCCCTGGCCAAGGATACCCCCCTCCCTCTGAGCTACCCCCAATGGCTTTAGGACTGAAATGTCCAGGACAAGTAGGAAAGAAAGGGAAGGGGAAGGGGAAGGACAGTAGAAAGAGTTGCACACAGACCTGGCCAGTTTGGCTCAGTGGTTGGAATGTCGACCCGTGAACCAATGAGTCTCAGGTTCGATTCCAGTCAAGGGCACATATCTCAGTTGCGGTTCATCCCCATCCCCGGTGGGTTCGTCGAGGAGGCAACCAGTCCTTGTGGCTCTGTCACATCGACGTTCCTCTGTCTCTCTGTCTCTCTCCCTCCCACTCTATCTGATGATAAATAGAAGAGTATTATCGGGTACAAAATAAAAAATAAAAAGAAAGAAAGAGTTGTATACAATTAAAAACAAATTATGGCAAATTCTCACCCTCACTTATGTTCTCATGTGTCTTCTTTCCTCACTAGAGGGTGAGCTTCATGAGACAACCTGCGTCTGTCTGATTTACCGTCATGTGCTTAGCACCTAGCATATTTCCTGACACAAAATAGCTATGACTTAACTTTTTTGTTAATCCTCCCCCAAGGATATTTTTTTCCATTTTTTTTTTAGAGAGAGTGGAAGGAATGGAGGGAGGGAGAGAGAAAAAAAAAACATCAATGTGAGGAGACGCACTGATTGGTTGCCTCCCGAACACACCCCAACTAGGGTGGAGAATTGAATCTGCAACCCAACTACATTCCTTTGACCAGAAGCCAAACCGAAAGGTCCACACTCTAACCCTAACCGTTGAGCCAAACCAGCCAGGGCAAAACTTTTCGAATAGATGAATGAATGAATAATATGAGAACAGAAGAGCTTTCTAACCAGCGTGTTGGGAAATGTCTGTACCCTACATGCCCATGCATCCCCACCTGGCCTGTGTGTCACATCCGGCACAGTGTATGGCACATAGTAGGTGCTTAATAAATTATTTTTAAGTGGATAGCCCCAAGGACTTATTTGATATATACATTTCATATGTTGTGCGTATCGCAGTGGGAAAAAAAATTGGGGAACTATGGTTTTAAATGATGAAAAGGTTTACTGTACTGAATTTTTAGATACCAAGATAAATAAACTCAACGTCCAATTTGAACATAAACACTTAATAAGATTTTGTTAAATTAGCGAAGTACAATGATCAGAGATAGAAATGGAGTTGGACAAATTCAGGCTAGTAAATGTGAGGAGGAAAGAAAAATAGAATAATTTAAGGCAGGGTAAACTGGATAACTGGATGCGTGTAAACCACAAGGAAGAAATCTGTGGGCCCCGTGCAGATAACACATGAATGACAAAAGGCAGGTGATGAAGGGGCCCTCAGATTCTAACCTCCAGAGGGTCCTCACTTCAAGTTTCAGTGACATGACTAAAGCAAGTCGGTCACAGGTCACCAGCCTTGTTTACTTGTTACCACTGTTCCTTCTTCCTAGGCAATGGGAGTGCTTTTCAAATGGAAATACCTCAATTACCTCCCCACCCTGGTGGCATGTGAAGAACAGGTCCTACACATTTGAAATATGTAGGCTATTAGAACAGTCTGAAAGATGAAGTGTTCATCCATTCAAAGGTATTGATTGTCTGCTCTGTGCAAGATGCTGTCTTGATTGCAGGAGGTCCATTGCTGATGGGGCAGATAGGGTCCCTACCCTCATAGAGTTTGCACCCTAATAGTGGCCAGAGTCGAGGTACACAGCGGGGATAAGGCGACAGATCACAGACCCAAGATGTGTGAAGCAAAATGGGGAGTTGAATATTTTAGAGCAATGAATTAGTCTTTTGGACCACATGGTCAGTTTCTCTTGAAATGTTGTAACTCCACAAAATACACTTCCCTGAAGCAAGCACAGTGACATTTTTGTCCACCACCTTCCCTGTCCCAGTAGGACAGGTCATCGGGTAGTGGCTACAATCTACTGGATTCGACATGGCTCTGACCCAGACTAGCTAACTTTATCTAGTGTGGGCTCCATATGAGGCAAAGTTACGAACTTGACAGAAATCATATACATGAGGAAAGGTTAAAATAATTGGATTATTAAACTGATAGAAGGAGGTTACTGGTGATTTAAATAATGGCCTTCAGACCTCTACATTGTAAATGACTAGTGTTAGGCCCCAAAGCCTTTTCTAGATTTGAGCCCAAAAATATTGTCAGATTCTTAAAACAAAAGGGAAGAGTCATTATTATGATAGTAATAGCACGTTGATGCTGCCCTGAAACACACACACACAAGCAGAAAACACACAGGACCAGGGCTGGGAACAAAGCAGCCTAAAGGTCAAGGCTCAAATTTCATTTTTAGTTTCCAAAATACTCCCCAGTTTGAATGTCAGGAGAAAGAAAAGAAGGTCCTGCGAGGCCACATGCAAAGGAAGGGCTGTAGACACAGGCTGACTAACATTCTGCTTCCTGCTTTTTATGTGATTTGAGTCTTTGGAAAAAACAGATGCAAAAATTGCGGATGCACAGGCTGGCCGGGTGCCAGCACATGGAGGCTTTGAAATCTTGTCATTGCTGCCTCATCCTGATGACATCAGCTGTTGTCTAGAGAAAGAGAAACCACCTGGAGACGGGTGTCCCAAGTCCCACAGCCACAACTCATCCCTTGCCAGTCAGCCATAACCAACCGACTGCCACTTACTTCCTACTCGGTGCTAGACCCTGGGCAACCTGCTTTCTCAGATAGAGCTGGGTGAGGGGCTGGGATAAGGGACAGAGCCACATCTTGGGGACTCAATGGGGACAAATGGGGACCACATGCTCACCCTTGGGACCTGATATGCGCATTTATCAGGCCTTCTGAGTGTTTTCCTTGTAGAAAATAGAATTTCACTTCTTTTCTTTCCCATTCTTGTCCGTTTAAGTGTTTTTCATGTGTCCTAATAACCATATATTTCATTTTCCACCCATCCAGACTCCTTGCTCCTCCCCATTCGGTCTGGAGAGAACTCGTAAATGTCATTGGTCACAAAGCCACTCTCTATGCTCGCCAGAGTGACAAATCCGCTTTCCGAGGTGTTCACAGCCATGTCGTCATAGTCACAGGCCGTGTCATCGGGAGTCGCTTCCCCCGAACACCCTCGGAATGAAATGTTCTTCAGATCTGGCCTGGTCTCGGCTAAATCAGCTTCGCTTTGTTTCCGGATGACTTTGTAAACCTCCAGGTCCGGGCTGTGTCCCGCATGAGGAGAGGGCCAGGCGGTGTGCTGCTGCTTTGTGCTGGGGCCTGGCTGCGCCCGTCTCCTAGGGCAGAAAACTGGGCTGAGTACTTCAGACAAGGGGACCGAGAGTGGCGCTGCCTCAGCTCAGGCATCGTCCTGGGCAGTCACCAGCTGCACTTCTCACCTGCCTACACTTACCTGCCGGGGGCTGGGTAACAAAACAGGGAAGTGTTGTTATGTTCAAATCGATTGTGTGTCTACCATTCACTGCTGCTAGAGCATAGAACAGGGGAGCTTGACCTGGGCCCCCCAGAGTCCCCAGAGCATCCATGAATAGAACTGGATGGGGAAAGATATCACATTAAAAAAAATTCTTCTCTAAGTGAAAATAGCATGTCCTTCAACTCTAAATGTAGATAATAAACCAGAGTAGAATTAGTAAATATCTTTGACATGATAAACAACAGAAATCATGGATATTTTTGTATCACATTACAGTTATAACAGATATCTTAAAGTAACTTCAAAGTTATGATAATTATACCCACCACTAAAATAGAGGCACATATATTATTGAATTACATTCATTTTTGGAAATAGTTTGCTAAATTATATAATAGTATAATCCAGTGCATTTTATTTTATGCACTTAAAAGTATGGTTCCGGTAAAGAGTCGATAGGCTTCTCCAGGCTGCTGCAGAAGTTGGTGGCACAAAGAGAGTTAAAACCCTCTGAACAGACTCCGGAGCAGAACTACAGTCCCCAACCCCTGGTGTGGTGCTGAATAGACAGAGTAAGGCAGGGAAATCAAGAACCAACTGCAGAGTAAACAGTTGTAAAATATATTTGTAATTTTTTGAACTGAATTCAGTTTCAGATTAAAAGGAATTAACTAATGAAAATGATCATAGTAAGAGCTAACATTTTTGAGTGTTTACTATATGCCCATTCCACATGTATTAACTGCTTCAATTTTAATTCTCTAAGAAAGTCGTTATTAAATGAAGAAGTTTCTACACTGGAATCTTACTAATTCATCTTAAATTGGTCATCAACAGGCATCAAATTTTAGATTGGACCTTAGGTTTCCTGTTGTAAAGTGAGCACACCAGCCTTCTTCTATGTGTACCATGATAATGGGGAATAAAAAGGTAGCTGGGAAGCTCTGGGCATCTCAAAAATGGTAGCATTTGATCCATCAGCAGAGTTACCCTAGGCTGTTAGTGTAGCTATTTTGCAATCCACAATTGTATGTTTAATGGAAGGAAAAGTCAATTAAAACTATCTGACTATTTCATTTTGAATAAAGTGATGTAGTTTTAGATGTCTGCCAAAATGCTCTGAAAGAGGTGTATTCATTCCTTCACTCACCCAACAAAAATTTTTGGATTGAGGGCATGCATTTCTGAGAGCCCTTGACTGAGTGATGAGTGGATACAGAATAGCAGTTTCACCCCTCAAGTCATTTAAAAACATGCAAGAATGCAAGAGCACTCTCAATCACAACTGAGCACAAATGCTGGGTACTTCTGAAAGCCTTGCACAGGGCAGAGAATTTGCTCTCAGATCTGCAGTGGTGGTTCTCTTGTCACTGTCCTGGCTTTTAGTTAAGTAAACACAATGTCAAAATTCAGAGTTCAGAAGACACAACGGTTTGCATGACAAAGGTTTTACTTGCCTCCTCCTCCAGATCCAAACCCAACACACAGCTGCGACCACAAGGAGGAGGAGAAGGGGAATGCAGGGGATTAGGATGTAGGCAAGATTCCAGGCAGCTTCTAAAAAGAAAAATGCATATTATCAGCATTATATGCAGATAGTTTGATGTGCTTCAAAACAGGCTTTAAAAAGTATAAGCAACGCAATAGACACAGAGTATTCCAAAGAGCATCTCGTTTAAAAAAATGAGCATTTTCTACCTGTTGTATTACCCTAGGTAATAAAGTTTAAATTTTGGGGTCTTGTAAAATATCAGAAGGGCTGTTTTGGTAATTAAATTGTTTCCCAGAAGAAAGATATTCTCTCATACTTCTCCTTAACAAAGAAAGTGCTGCTTGGGTAGTGTTGATGTTTTTGACTCTAAACACAGAAATGGCAGCTTTCAAGGTGGGAAGAGGGAGAGGGTGGGAAAAAGAAGCAAGCCAGAAGACTCTGGGCTATTACCAGGACAGAGAAAGTCACTGGAAGCACATGAATCAGACTGCAGAACTTCCCAAACATTTCTGATTAAGACTAGCTGGATCCATTTGGGCCCATGAACAGTGTGATTGTGGGGATGATTGAAAGTCTGCTTTCCTGACCCCTTCTGTCCTTTAAATCTTAGAACCAGAAAGTTTTCTTTCAAGGGGATTTGGGGGGAATCAAGGACTGGGGACTGACCCCTTTCCTAGTCCTACTTGTCCAAGATTCCCATTTACCCAGAGGCTACTGCTTTGTTTTTCTGTGAGACTGCAAACCTGACAGACAAACAGACAGGTGCACACACACAAAATAAAACCCACTTTAAATGCCACTGTAATCACAAAGAGCAATAAAAATGCCACCCATCTCTGCAATGCACTGTGTACTTTTACCAAAACATTTTCACCTATTATCTGCTGCAGAATAACAAATTTAATTGGCCTTTGTCCCTGGTTCCTAGGAGGGAGGGTCTCTAAATCTTTGGAATGTCTAAGAAGGTAATAAGAGTGACTGTTATTCATAAGCCCTTCAGACCATTTCAGAATTTATGCTGACAGAGATGTCTCAGGATGGGGGCTGATGGGGAGGGAGTGGGGCCTAGAGATCGAGTTCAATTACATGGCCAATCATCGAATGAATTATGCTAATGTAATGACACTGTAAAACTGCACACCAAAGCTCAAAGGAGCCTTCTGCTTGGGAAACACACCGGTGTGCTCAGAGTGTGATAAGGTGTCCTGATTCTGCGAGAGAGGTCACAAAGCTCCCCAGCGGGGACCATTCCAGACCTCACCTTATGTGTTTTCATTTGGCTGGTACTGATTTGTATCCTTTATAATAATATGTAGTCATAAGTATAGCATTTTCCTGAGTTCTGTAAGTTGTTCTACTAAATTAATGAACCTGAGGGTGGTGTGGGCACCCCCTGGATTTACAACCAGTTGATTAGAAGTGCAGGTGGCACTATCTGAGGTGAGGGCAGTCTTGTTGGGGCCTGAGCCCTGAACCTACAGGGTCTGTGCTAACGTGAGGTGGTCGTGTCAGAATTTCATTGCAGCATTGCAATATCCTATTTTATTTTATGGACACAGTTTCTCAGGTAGGTGAGAAAAATGTTATTACTTTCATTATGCAAATGATTAAACTGAAGCACAGAGAAATGAAGTGTTTTTTTAAAGTTGTCCAGAAACAAAAACCCAGATCTCCCTCTTAAAACTTAAGGTGGAGCCTCGGCCAGGTGGCTCAGTTGGTTGGATCGTTATCCTATACACCAAAAAGACTGCAGGTTTAATCCTCAGTAAGGTCACATATGGGAGGCAGTCAATCCATGTTTCTGTCTCTCTCTCAAATCAATAAACATATCCTGGGATGAGGATAGAAAAAACAGCTCAAGGAGTCCAGGTTGAAAATCCATTAGCACACCAATTTATCACCCCATTTCCTTTTATATTTTATGATTTAACATTTTAAATGTTTTTGCCCATTTCCTTTATTTGTTTCACAAATGAATATTAATCGTGGATGTTACGCATCATGGTCTGGGGCTTTCTGCTCTTATTTCTCTACATCTGTTCTCTCAGTCTCAGCCCCGTCTGCCTCCCCCCGACTTCCAGGTGGTTCCCAAGGCTCCATCTGCAGGCAGATGTTTCATCCTCTGTAGTCTAATTTCCCCTATTTTCTTAAGATGGTTCCATTTGCATATTTCACTGATGAAATCTAACATTTAATACAGCTTTTGCAAAGTCACAAATGCCCTGTCTAGTTCCACTGTTAAGTGGGAAGGAAGAAAGTAGGAAATATAACTGTGGATAATTTGTGATCAAGAGAGTCCCATTATCAATTTTTTTCCAGGAGAGTTCTGTAGCTACCTTTGTTTTCTTTAAATGTTTCTTTGGCATCTTCTTTCTCTCTGTCTTCTGGAAATATGGGTGTGGCTGGCTCTGTTCTTTCGCCTGGAGACAGATACATGGATTTGAGAACCTGGAGAAAGGCATCATAATCTGGACATTCTATGAGGTCCTACCAGGTTCAATAGAGCACCAAAGGGCAGTAGCAATTTGGCCAGTGCCATTTATAAACATAGGAAAGAAAAGGGTGGCATTTGCTGGCATAGAGGATTAATTGCCTTTATCTTTCTGGTGAGACTCTTGCTACCAAGAATTATGTACTGAAACAACCAGCAGGTGGCTGGCCTCAACGAAGGACTAGGGTGCTCAGGGGAAGGCCAATGACTCGCTTCTGGGACCATAAATGATCAGATTGGCTCACTTATTTAAACAGATCGAGTTATTCCTTTCATATTGTCAATAATGACAAGTAACATCTCAAACCAATTTGGAACTGTTCCTTTCAGCTTTGAGAGAAACAGACGACACTGGAGAGCGAGACCAGTGCATGACTGCAGGTGGTGTTTACCTGTTTAAATGTTCTAGGTAAACACCAGTGATATTTCTGATGAATAATCTGGTCTACAGATCACATGGTTCTAACCTATGAAGAAGGACTGTAAAACAGCCCAAATTAACCCAAATCTCAAAAGACCAGCTTACCTCCCAGCCCCATGGAAGGAGCTGTTGGTTCCTCTGCAGCTAAAAGAAACAAAAATAAAAATGATAACTAAATTTCCATGCCAACTGAATGAAATTGGCCAGATCATGATACCCATTTATTTGTTTCTTCAGTCATCAATAAACTATCTTGGTGTTACTAGACGAAGTTAGTCAAAAAGATCGCTTGTGCACAAAGACTAGCCCTCCCCCAGCTTTGCTTGGACACTTTTTTCTTTTTTAAAAAGTATTTTGAAAATTTTGAATATGAGAATTTCCAAATGTACACAAAAATAGAAAGATGGGTATAATGAACCTCTCTGTACCATCCCTCAGCTGCAGCTCTTATGAACAGACGGCTAATCTAGTTTCAGCAACAATTCCCCTTCCTACCCACTACCCTCAAGCCTGGGTCATTTCACAGCAATCCAAGACAGCATAGCAATTCCTACTGGGATGTTTTAGAAAGCAACCAACATTGATCTCCAAGCAGAGGAAGTAGGTGGGGGGCTAAGTAGACCACTGGCCAGCCCCTAGGTAAAGACTGGTGGTCTAGAACTCTGAGTCATCGTAAATATTTGAGAGAGCCTCAGGAAAGTCAGGTTGCATGGACAGCCTGCATTCAATGTTTTTACTGTTGGCTGGGAGTGTGTCTACCCCTTGCATTGTCAGTCATTCTCATGCTAATCAGATACTTTGCGATTCCTCGGGATGGAGGTTTTTAAGGGCAAGATTTTAGGAGTCACAGTCTAAGGCCAGAATGTCAAAGCTATTCAGAGAGAAAACTTATTCATCTTCTCATAAATTCATAAATTTGTAGAGGTGATGCAAATCCATGAATTTCTTTTTAAAAGCATTTATGTAGTGCATGTTATATGACAGAAACATCATCGTGTCTTAAAAACAGGCACAATTTATCCTGATAACAGCCTTATGAGGCAGGTACTATTATTACTCTGATTTTGTGCACAAGGAAACTGAGGAACAGGGAGATTACATGTCTCGTCTCTCAGCTATTAAGTAGTAGCTGAAATGGGATTTGAATCACATAAATTCAAATGAAAATTAAAGTCACAAGAAGACAAACTCTGTGCTAGGTAATGGAGATAAAACAGCAAATGAGAAATGGCCCCATCCCTCTAAGGCTCCTACACTCTACAGTTTGGCCATAAAATATGGACATACAGGACAATACTAATAAATATTGATCTTGTGATATGACGTTACAATACAAAGCATATTCAATAACGTTATGTGATCTGTTCATTTCCTGTTTTTCCATGGCTCAGTGCACTGAAAACCGCACCAGTTGGCGTGTTAACGTGGCTTTTCCTGCAGTCCTGCGGTGCATCTGCAATCCTGCGGTGCATCTGCAATGCTTTGCCTCCAATTACTTGTCTCTGATTTTCACCAGCCCTGCCTCTGCCCCTAGCATGCCCAGAAGTAACCAAGTCTCTGATCCGGCTACAAGGCCACCTACCCTGCGTGGTCATGTTGTCAAACATAGTTTTAGATGTTATTCAATTTGTCCCTTGCCTCTGGCATAATGGATGGTATGCCATCCTGTTTGAACCACACTGGATGAATGTCTCCTAATCCATCAAGTGAAGGGATTCATTGGTCAAAGATGTATGTTTGCAGAACTCATGCCAACCATGCAGGGAAGGGGACAGACTTGTAAACAAGCTGTTGGAGTACTGTGTGTGTGAGGTGCTAGGATCCTCAGAGGAGGGTCACCTAACCTAGTTTGAGGGCCCTGGAAGGTGTCCCAGAGGAAATTACTTTGTTTTTAATTTCGTATTTTGAAGTAATTTCAGATTTATGAAAATTTGAAAGAATAATACAAAGAATTCCCATATATCCTCCACCCAAATGTTATCATTTTACCATATTTCATGTATTTACTTATTCTCTTTACTCTCTCTCTCTCTCTTGCTTTCATTGCTCTGAAAAGTGACCTGCTAAGACAGCCTCCCTCTTTGCAATCACTTGCCTAAGACACCTCTGTATGGTGGGTAGGCCAGGTCTCTGGAGAAAACAATTCGCTTGAGGGGGTAAAAAGAAAGAAAAGAAACCTTTCAGCAACAAAATGGCAGCAAAAGCATAGTCCAATTCAAACAATTTTAAAATGATAGAATTATTTAGTAACCAACTAGATATAACACGTCATTCTGCTCCTGTTGGAAATGATGCACAACTGGAGCCAAGCAGTTGGCTTCACAGAGGTGAGAAAAGTCCAGGAAACAGCAAAACACACTTTAGCCCTGGCCGGTGTGGCTCAGTGCGGAGCATCGGCCCGAGCACCTAAGGGTCTCAGGTTTGATTCTCAGTCAAGGGCATGTACCTGGGTTGCAGGTTCAATCGCCGGCCCCGTCAGGGTGCATGCAGGAGGCAACCAATCAATCTGTCTCTCTCACACAGATGTTTCTCTCTCTCTCTCCCCCACTTACCCTCCCTCCCTCCCTTCCACTTTCTCTAAAAAAAAAAAAAAAATCAATGGATAAAATATCCTCAGGTAAGGATTAACAAACAAATAACAAAAAAACTCACTTCAAGTTTATATCCAAGTCACTTGTAGTGGAGTGTGAGAAACTCCAGCAGAATGACCTAGTCTCAGAGCCCAAACCTTGACAGATCTAGAAGCAAGTGCCGTTGAATTTGCAAGGTACATATGGGAGTTCGAGCTCATCAGCATGTCTGCTCTTTGCCCGAAGCCAGTAAAATTGGTGTATTTTATCATCTACCACCTCTGGTTATCATTCTGTATCCTTAAAGCCCCAGGAAATAATCTCACATGGCTGTTAGAAGACATGTAGGAACAATGGTCGGCTCCTAGCATGTTTCTTCTTTATTCCAAGCTCCTACAGCCAATATCACATGTGGAAAGAATAAGAATTTATAACTGTCCACTTAGAAGGTTTTTTGTTTCCTGAAGTTCTCATAATTCTTGCTTTATTATACATAAATTAGACACTTTCTTTTCTGCATCCCTTCTCCTCACATCTGCTGCCCCTCTCTCCTTTGCTAGAATTCCTCCTGCACGAGGCGGGGCCACTACATTTCCCTTTATAAGAATTCCCAGTGTTCAGCTGCGGGCACTTTCAACAAGCTTTTCAGAGACCACGTAACAAATTTGTGGAACTAGCAGCTTACGGAATGAGGAAGGAAGTTGAGATTCAGTCACATAATATGGGAGAGGATTCATTACCATCAGAGTATTTGCAAATGAAATTGTTCTTCATGTTGCATCGGTCGTCATTCCACTGGAACATATAGGGGCCCCCGATGCCGGTGGGTGCTGATGGCTGATGGTACATGACCACACAGACCTCACTGCCACAGGAAGGCTCATCCACATACCAGTTCCTGTAGGAAAGGGGTCAATAGTAGAGGCAATTGGAGAAGGATACCACCAGACATCAAATTCCACCGAGCCATGAACTTAAGATTCTGCTTCAGAACACGATACAGAAAGAGAAAGGAACTGAAGAATTGCCAGTAACAGCAGTCACAGGCTTTCTACTATGGGCAATCAATCATCTGACAATTGCCACAACTGCTTTGCAGGAAGGGAGAAATATATTACCATATGATTTCTGCAAATTAAGTATGTGAAACAGGAGCTAGCAGTACTGGATGATCTTATTTCTTGCTTGCTTTTTGATAACTAGATTTGTTTTTCTTTTTTACAAATTAGATGCCTGACTTATCTCCTCCAGACTTTGCCCTACTCCCATCGACTCACACTGTTTAATTGGCCAGAACTGACTTCCCCAGCCCCGGGGGAAGACTTTCCAAAATGTAGAGACTGTCAAAGCAGGTGAGGGGGCGGGGACAAGAGTGGAAGGCCCATGTAGCCTTTTTCAGCTGTTTCCAGTTCATCAGGCTGACAGCCCTCTGTCAGCCGGCACTGCTAGATTTCTTGTCTTTGTCTCCCTGCCTCCTGGATGGGATGCATTAGCAGCCTCTGCTCCACTATCCAGTGGTACTTGCTGCTAAATGGTGCTGCCATTGTTGGACATGTGGGTGCCAGGTTTGGGATTCTATAGAGAGTCTAAGCGCTGTGAGCACCCACCCCGTGTACTGACCCAGGGCTGGGCTCTAGTCTACCTGGTTACCCACTTAAGCTGTTTCCTTCCAGCACCCAGATCTTGCCCTGATGTTCAGATTATCAGCAGGGCCCTGCTGCTCTGCCTACTCTTGTCAGAGCCCCTCCTTAGGAGAGAGCTAAGAGACAGGTCTCTTCAAAGCACCCCATCATGGCTCTGCCTGGGTGCTGCATTGTCATCTACCAAAAGGAAGATCCTTTGCTGTACCCACTGGGCAACAGCTGCCCTTGCAGTGCTGCTGGACCCTGTGCCTGGACAGGTGTCTGGGGCTGGGCTCAGCTCCTCACTGGTTACCTCTGGGCCATTTCCAACTCTGTTTGTGGACTCCTAAACTGGCTTGCCTTATGACTTTGTTATTTCATTTCACAGATGATAGACTAGATAGAATATTATACCTGGCACCTGGTTTTGGGACTGGAGCCAGCTTTCAGGTTCAGAACTCACTGATAGAAGGAGAGGCTAGGTTCCAAGGAGGAAGAGCCCTGTAACACCATGGCAGGCGCATGTGGTGACAATTTCCCCTGTTCTCCCAAAGGAACCTATGGCCATCTACTCAAGGAACCATGCACTGGGAAGAGAGGAACACCCAACTATTATTGAGACTGTTGTACCCAAGGTGCAAGTCCACATGGATGCCCAAAGACATAAAGTGATGTGAACAGACATATGGGAATAGGCATAAAGTATGAGACTGTCACATGTTGAAGCCCACCAGAAAGCATCTATCATGGAAGAGACCCTAAACAACGAGGGAGACAAAATGATTCAGCCAGCTGATGTCAACCAGCCTGTTAGCTGCCCCAGTGCTGGCGCACTGGATAACACACTAGAGTAGCCATTGTGGCAGGGTGAACACTATGCATGGGCTCAACAGTATTGGTCCCCGCTCTCCACGGATGATCTAGCAACTGTCAAACATCCAACCTGCCAGCAACAGAGATAGATGTTAAGTCCCTGAAAGAGTACCAACCCTAGGAGAGCAGCCTGGCATTTGGTAGCAAGTAGACTACATTGTTCTCCTTCCATTGACTCATTCTGACAGGAATAAACACACAATCTGGGTATGAGTTTGCCTTTCCTGCCTCAGCGCCATAGTCAGCATCACTATCCAAAGGCTTATACACACAGTATTTGGCCTACCAGCACAGGATCCCAAGTAACATCTCATTAGACCACGGGGCCTACTTTATAGCGAAGGAGGGGTGGGAGAGGGCACCTGGCCATGGATTTGCTAGTCGTCTCATATATTCATTATCCTGAAGCGGCCAGCTCAACAGTGATAGAAGAGCCGTTCGAAACATAGCTGACACACTAGCTTTGAGACAATACTTTGTGAGAACAGGACACCATCCTCCCAGATGCAGTGTACACTTTGAATCAGTGATCTTTCTAAAACCCTGTGTCCCCAAGAGTAAGAATATATAGGTCTGAGAGCCTAGGGGTGGAAGTGGGAGTAGCTCTGATTATTGTCACTTGTCGTGACCCACTTGGGGAATTTGTACTTCTTGTCTCTGCAATGCTGGACTCTATGAATTTAAAGGGCTTGGTATCCAAAGGGTACCCATTAGTAGAAATAGTAAGAGCCTTATTGAACTATGAGCTATGGCTGCCACTTGGGCATTCCGGGATCCTTGTGTCCACGGACCAGTAGGCAAGAAGAGGACTATTATCTTATCAGGGGTTAACTGATCCTAATCATGAGGAGGACGTATATCTGCGGTTACACATTATGGGCAGAGAGAAACATATTTGGCACCCAGGTTATCTATTTGGGTACCTGCTGGTACTCATGTGCCCAATTTTGATGATAAATGGAAAAATGCAATCACTCTAGCTTTAGAAGTGCAGTGATGAGAGTCCCACAGCCCCTGATCAGAAGGTGTGGGGAAGCTGTGCTGGGTAGCAGAGGAGGGAGGTGACTATGTGTCCATTGTGGCCCTGAGATCAGCTGCAGTGGTGGGGGTGCTGTTCGTCTTATTAGCCTTGCTTTTTCAGGTTTCTCCTAGGAAGGGATGCCAATGAGAGTCCGGAAGGAGGGACTCCTGAAACTTAATGAAGTTGTGAATCTGATCCGCACAATGGGTAGACTTTGATAGATGCTGATATGTTGTCTTAAATGTAATAGGTAAAAAAGATATATTTTAACCTTCATTCTTTTGATTGATAATGAGTTTAAACTGTTTTCCACATGATTGTTTACCAGTAAGGTTTTGTATTTTCTGAAATGTCTGCTTAGGTCCTTTGCATCTTTATCTTTTGGGGTTTTATGAACTTTAAGTGTTTTATTGACTTTTATCTAAACTCACAAGAAGATAGTCTTTGTTAACTTTGCTACAATATTTTGCCAGTCTTGTCTGCCTTTTAATTACATATTTTTTCATGTTTGTCCATGTCATTGCATTTCCTGGGGTGGTGGGAAGGTGAACGCAATGCCGTGGTGCCAGGGTAGGGTGTGGGTTTAAAACTGCAGGCTTCCTTAATTTCTCTCTTGGCCAATCCATAGAACTAGATCTTGGCTCTGATTTCTTGCCCATCATTATGATTCCCTGTGGTCTGGAGCCCTATTTTAAGTCTTGGCCCCATAGACCTTCATCTCTCACTGGAGTTCTAGTCCAAAAAGCCAAATAGCCAGAACCATTGACTTGAAGCATTGCATGCCATTGAAACAATGCTTCTAGGCCACACCCTCCTGAACAGAGCTCATTGGCTAGGAGCTGGGCCCAGATCAAGGCTGTCATCACCTTCACCACACAGCTTTGGTCAGCACTATTCTCATGCTGTTGTCTCCTCAGGGCTATTGCCTGGGTCAGCCTTCTCCTCCTCACTGACCTGGCACCATGGATCTAGCCTGCTTCTTCTTGAGTTATGTCAAGTGAGTTAGCCACTGTGGGTCTCGCACTCACCGGAACGTTGAAATGCTGCCATCAGTCCAAGTGTAAAGGTCCTGGCAGGCTGTACTGTTGCTTTGCTGCTCCTCATGCCTCCGGAGCCCAATCCAGAAATCGCCATCAGACGCCAGGAGGTTTTCAATGAACTTTTCTATCAGTCTCTGTTCATCTTCAGTCTCGATGCTGACTAGTTGGCCCCCATCCCTCCAGCAGGCTGCTCTGGCTTCCTCAAAGTTCAGTCTTCGAAAAGTGTCATGGAAGTAAATGACTTTATAACAAGGCCTCTGTGTTCCTCCCCGGCAGACTGGCTGGCCTAGAGAAAAAAGAATTCAACCTATTTCACTGTTAACCAAAGTATACCAGGGTAGGGATGCTTGGAAGCATGTGAATAAAGCCATTCCTAGGGCAGGCATTCTGATTACTCATCATGGACTGTTGTGATAACAGGGTTCCCAGAGCAAATTGACATGCCTGCCAGATTGGAGATGTGGTGAGTTAAACCATATCATGTAGGATCTCCATGCTTTTTTGTACCATTGTAGATTGCTAAACAGCAGACATCCTTGACTATCTTCTAAAAGAGAGGTAGATGAAAACGTATTGTTTTACTTAAAGGCACACAAATCATTTCATGCCATTAGGGTGTGTCAGGGGATAGTGTGGCTTTAAGTGAGTTATCTCTTCTCTCAGGTAAGGGAGGCATTCTGAAATTGGGTGTGGGCTTCTCTGCTCATGTGGCAGGACTGATAATTCATCCAGTCTATGGTATAAACAGAAGCTATGAGCATCAGATCCATGAGGTTTTCTGCTACTGATCTTGCCTAAAGACATCTAAGGTTTACCGAACTTTCACTATGTGCCATGAACTGTGCTAAAGTTTTTTACATTTACACACATTATTTATCTCATTGAACTCTTAGAGTAAGCCCCTGATGTGGTTGTGCTTATGCCCTACTTTATAGATGCAAAAACTGAGGTTTAGAGAAATTAAGTAATTTGACTAAGGTCACATAACTATCAGTAGCATCACCTAAGTCAGAGCCCAGATCTAATTACAAGTCATGCCAGTAACCAGTGAACTGTATTGCCCACTCCCCATTCCCTCAGGCTCAGGTTGCACTGGGAGCCTATATAATGAGTTTCATCTGACTGACACCTGAAGGGCAGAAGACCATCTTAGACAAACAGATGGGATTCTACTGAGCAGCAAACAACTAATTGTTTACCAGCACCCACCACTCAAGCTTGTGTCTGGGTGCCTGGAGCCTTGCCACACCTGAAACAGTAGCCTCATTATTCCTTTGTTTAGTCAACATGTATTGAGTGTATGGTCTGTGCTTGGCACTGTGATAAGTGCTGGGAATATGGAAACAAATGCCACATCCTATCCCATAGGAGCAGAGAGCATGTGTTTCTGGATCCAGATATACAAAGTAAATGCCAAATCTCAACAAGGGAATCCCCTGCAGTGGAGAGCCAAATCATGGGCTGTGGGTGTACATTGCTGCACAAAGCAAGGAATAAATGATTTGTGTTTGAGAACCTCTTCCCAGCCCTCATGGAATGTTCTCATTTGCCCCACTTGTTTTGCAGCTGTGCAGGGAGCCAGAGAGCATTCATTATTCTCAGTACTGTCCAGAATAAGGTGCTAAATGGGAACAGAGCACATGCAGATAAATTCAGAAAAGTCCTGTGATTTCTTTTTTTCTATTTATTTTTTCATCACTTTGGTAAAGAATTTCTCAGTAAGCAACAAGTTATGAGAGTTTTGCATCTTCTTCCTTTGAGTGTCATTCTGCTATTGCTAAATAAACTCTAATAGGAATGGTCTGCCAGAAATAGGCGGGACATTTTCACTAAAGATGTATTCCAGACAAACTAGAACCAATGGCCAGAGAGGCTGCGGCTGGGCTGCTGCCTAGGGAGAAGGCTGAGCCAGCCCAGCTTCTGTGAGTCCTTAGAGGTGGCTCCAAATGAGCCAGGAAAAGACAAAATGCATGAACCCCAGCACCCCCAACCTGGTTACCAGCAAAACATAAACTGGAGTTGAATGTACTGGTAGTCCCCGCTAAACACTGTTGGATTATCAAGGGAAAACATAACAGCTTAAAGGAGTTTCCTGTATGGTCCAGCCTGGCCCCACATCCCAAGTCAGGTGGTGAGTGCCAGAGAGAGAGCCAGAGCTGGAAGGAGGCCCAGGAACACAGCTGGTTTCCCTGCCTTCAGGAAGTCTTTCTCTTTTTTTTTTTTGCTGGAAGGGGAAGGGTGGGAGGGCCTTCTGTTCCCCACTACCAATGACAGAGCCCAAGCAGCCCAATTCGGTTACTCTTTCCCCTTTGCCACCCAGCACCCCACCCCATCCTGAAACCAACTTTAGATTTTTTTTTTCAATCAGCTGCGCAAGCACGATAACAGAGTGCAGGCTTTCATTCTCCTCCATCCCTCTTGGCCGGTCTGTCGCCTGGGAGGCGGACCTGAAAAAGAAAGGAGCACGGACCTTCTACCCCCGACATGCGGAACCAATGGAAGAGGCAAGAAGTCAAAGCACAGTACCTCCTCTGCGGTCCAAGTCCGAGGCTGCAGAGACACGACAGGAGGAAGAAAGCAGAGAGTCATTCCTCGGAGTCGGGCGGGGCTTGTCCCGCGCAAACTGGGCTACTTTCAGGTTTCCAAGCGCTCTTATTCCAAGCGTTGGATTCAGCCATCCCTCCCCCTCCCATTAAAAGACCAGCAAAAACAGGCTAGGTTCCCACGACACAGCCGCTCCAGAATCCCTAGGGTACCCGCCGTCCCTGGGGTCAGGAGACCTTCCCTGGGCGCAGGACAAGGGAGTTTGTGAGCCGACCCGCGTGAGGGTCCTGGGGTCTGTGCCTACTGGGGCAGCTTTGCTCACTGCCCCACCTAGCCTACCTCCCCCGAGTTTCCGCGACCCTGAGCCAGGAACGGACTTCTAGCGATCCGGTATACGCAGGGAACCCGCGCGGGTCTCAGCCTCGGAGCGGTTGCTGCCCTAGAAACAGGGCGCGCAGAAGGGCTGAGTCCACTAGTAAGGTTGGGCATCGTCGCCCCCACTCCCTCACCCCCCGTGCCCCACTCTACAGAGGTCAGAGAAGTGGCACGGCGGCTCTGAAGACAGCAGCGGCTGGGGTGCAGTGGTTCATCAGCCGAGCCCGCCCGGGAACCAGCCCCCGCCACAGCGCACTCACCGCTCAGCAGGCGAACCGTCCCGCCCCGGAGCCCGGCCAGCAGCACGGCCAGCAGCACAGCTCTCGCTGGCTGCAGCGTCTCTCCCAGCTGCATGGCCCGGCTCTAGTGCTCCCTCGGACACCCGGGCGCTACCGAGGTGGAGCGGGTGGACCTTCAGCGGCGTGCACAACTGCAATCGCCGGAGCAGCATCCCCGGAGGAACCGACCGACCCGGCACCCGGAGGAGGAGGGGAAGACGTGGAGCCAGCTGGTCGCCCCTCCGCCCCCCAGGACGTCACTGCGGGGAGAGCAGTCCCGCCTGCTGGCCCGCCCCCATTGCCTTCTGCGTGCTTCGCTCAAGACTCCCCGCCCACCCGAGGGGCGTGAGTAGAAGAACGGAGCGGCTCTCCGCCCCACTCCGAGCTTCCCGTGGAGATCCTGCCTCTGCCTAGGGCTCAGGGCCGGGAAAAACCCCAGTCTGGCTTCTCTGAAATCTGATGAGGAGAGCACTGCGGCTAAAAACAGGACCGCATCTCGCCCCCACTCCTGGGGACATAGCCAGATTCACTTAGCGTCCCAGGCTCTGCAGAATGGGCCAGTGGAAGCGGCAAGGCAGTGAGACCTTCCGGGGCTGGGCAGAGCGCAGTGCTGGCGCTCAAGGCTACTCCTGAGAAGGGAGTGGTGGATGCGGAGAACTGCTGCCCTGGTAGGCAGTGTGGCAGGGCCAGGCAAGCTACGGGACAGAGTGGATAGCGTCGGGAGAAGGCGGCCAAGATGGAGTTCTGGCTTACAGGAGAACAGTTCCACCTGGAGCCAACGAGTGACTCTGAATTTAGCAAGGAAATAAGACTGTACTGCTTTTTTGCAGGGCACATGTTGGAAGGTGGGCGTGATTGTTCAGCCTTGGACTTGTTATAGAAGGAGATGACCCGCCCCCTACCAGAGAGTGACCCCTGTTCCCCTGGAAAAATCTTCCCTCAGCAACCTAAGCCCTCAATGTGTGCTCCTTCTTCTAAATTCCCACAGTTGTGTTTTGCATTTGCTTCTTTTGGTAAGCAAAAATTTTTCAGATATATTCAGAGAATAAAGTAAGCCTCCTGTCCAAAAACTAAGGTCCTTAGTGACAGAAAGTGAGTCTGATTTGCCTGCCTTTTCCCACTCTGTGAAGCATAGCAGAAGCTCCACCTGGGCTACTGACTTCTGGATTTTGTTCTCAGCTTCAGCCACTGCAATTCTAGACAAAAAGGCCTGAATACAGGCTGGGGGTGGGGGTGGGAGTGGAGAGGGCCCTTTTCAGTACTAGCTGATATATGGGGAAGCTCTGCTACTGTAGAAAACAGTAGCATCAGCAGAAATTTATAGCAACTTCATTTACAGCCAGACTTTATGTCTGAATTAGAATATCTCATATCCAACATACAATCTTCCTAGAAATTCCTGATTAAATAATCAAAGAGAGAGCTGCTATTATGAAAATTGGCTGTTAACTTGGCATCTGATATTGTTTCCAGTCCTGCTTTTCTTCACTTAATGTCTGTGTGACCTTCAAAAAGTTGTGTATTTTTTTCTGACCAAGTTTTAATTAATTATAGGTAACACTCAAAGTTACCCTAAGAGTTTTGTGAAGGGTTGATAAGGCAAACAGTTATTCAAGTGTGTAGATAGCTGGGCACCTAATGTCAATTGCAAAAGATTTATTTCCAATATTACAACCTTTATTAAAACCTAGAGAAGCTGTTCCGTTGGTCCAATTAATTAAATTGTGCCCTGAGTTCTCTCGTTGATACACTGGCCCTTGGTCCAGATAGACTTTGCTAAGGGATGCAATCCACCTAATGGAGTAAATTACAATAACAACCCCAATTCTTCACACCACCTTGTATCCACAACCTTTACAATGTGACTTTGCAGTTCCTCCTCCTAAAGGGCCAGAGTCTATGTCCCTAATCTCTTGTTTTTGTGTTTGACCATGTGACTTGCTTGGCCAACAGGATGAGCCAGAAGTTTCTGAGCCTAGACTAGAAAAGGCCTCACATGTTTTTATTTGTTCTCTTGCTTCTCTACTACTCTCTGAGAGGAACATAGCTCAGATATCCCACTGGTCCATGTATATTCTAAAGAAGATACAAGGAGCAGAGCTGCCTCAATCAACAGCCCTGTAATGAAAAGCAGACCTGCCCCAGGTGCCAGAGCTGAAGCACAGCTGTGGGCCAGGCCTAGCTCAGCCAAACCCCCAAGTGACCTACAGGTATGTGAGTAAGAATAAAAGTTATTTAGATCACTTTGTCATGCAGTGTGGTTGCAGTAATACCTAACCATTACACCTCGTAATACAGAGAGCTGTCACCATGGTAAGGCTGGTTGCCAAGAAAGCTCACAAAGTGGAATTTTTCTTGGTAAAATTATTTTGGTCCAGGGGGTCCAATTCTTAGTTTGACAAGCTCAAAGCCAATCTAAAAGACAGTTGTATTTACACATTGAGAACTATAATCATCAAGTAAACAGATGTTTGCATTGGCCTTTTGAGCACATACTCTCCCTCTGGGCAAAAGATTACTCAGTGAGAATGGAATCAGAACAAAGGGAACTAGTGACATGATTTGGAAGTTTAGGCTTTGATATTGTGCTGTGTTCATCTTCACTGTAGAGAGCTATCTATATGGCAGACAAACACATAACCCTGATAGGGTACCTTTTATTCTTAATAGTGTTGAGAGAAGATTCCCATTTTATAACTTTCTAAACTTCCTTTTTCTAGGCCCAACTACCTTTCTTCTGTTCAAAACATTTTTCTTCAAATATTGTTGTGGCAGAAATGGCTAGATTTCCACTAATATCCAGTCTCTACTTCTTTTAGTGATGGATTCCTGACTTTTAATTAGGAAGACCCCTCACCCCCACTTAAAGCCTATTTCTGGCCCCCCTTTGCAGTTTGGGTGTCCCTGTGATTAAGTTCTGTTGGCACCGCAGAGCAGGAGTTGCATGTGATGGAGGTTACATCCAGGAGTTGCAGGTGGAAGCCATGCGGAGGAGAGCAGGTCCTGAAGAGAGCTGTGAGCATGGAGCAGAGTGTACAGCCCTGGGCAGGAATGCCAGCTGGACAATGCAGAGCGACAAATACTTAACCTTCCCTTTTCTAGTACACCCAAGGGAAATGACCTTTAAGTGAGGGAGGTTGGCACTGGTATGTACATGTATGTAAGACATAGGGATGCTAAGCCAGCAAGTCACAGAACTAGAAGCAATTAATTTCTGATTTCAGACATGCTCCAGAAACTGAGTAAACCAAATTTTGGAAAACAAACAGATTTTTTTATTTTTTACAGCCAGAAGACTTTAAAGGTTTTAGGACTTCCCTTTCATCCCTATTTCCTTATTGTTTTTACTGGTAGTCTACAACTTTATGGGACACATAAAGCCCTGTGTCTTGTTTATCTGATAGTCATAATATAGATCAAATATAATAATACTGGAAATAACAAATGAAAACAAGATAAATTAGAGTTAAAGAATGTATAAGACAAGAGAGATGTGTCGAATATAGTGGCATCCAATAAGTAAAATAGATACAAGTATTTGATAACTGGTAAAATTCCTAGAAGTCCGCATACTTAACTTACATTTCTTTGTCTATTTTAACTAATGATCCCAATGCTCCTGATGTAAAGAAGGTTGTTTCAAAAGTAAAGATCTAAGTGAGCCATCCTCTACCAGGTGTCAATCAAATTAGTTCAAGGCTTTGACTTCTTCTTGGTCTTCTTCATTGGACTCTGGAATCACTTTCCTGTTGGCAGTGACATGAATCAGTTCCAATACACAGAACCATCTGTGGTTGTGAACACAGAGTAGCATGGAACAACTTTTGAAAGTTTCCCCAATAAAGATTTACTGTCTTAGATTGCAACTATGCATTAGATTTCGCAACCAAGTGTAAACTTCTTTGTAGGAGAAGCGGTTATTCTACTGTAAAGTGTAATTTGAAGGGCATAAGAGAAGACCCCATAACTCTAAATATGTTTTGCTCACCCAAGAGTCAAATTTGGGAGATTACATCATTGTTCCTTCTAGTCTGCCCTCTTTATAATGCAAATATTCCTGAGGTAGATAATAAACATACTGCTACAAAAACCTTACTCTGTACAAACTTTCTAGTTCTTTCTTTATGACAGAAGGGGGCTTGGATTATTTTCAGATCTGTTGGAGAAGGGATAGTAAGGATGCATCTGTGTTCTTAGGGGAGTTTTGGGCAGACAAGAAAAGACAGAGAGAGGAGCCCTGGCCAGTTTGGCTCAGCGGTTAGAGCGTCGGCCTGTGGTCCGGAGAGACCCGGGTTCGGTTCCTGCTAAGGGCACGTACTTCGGTTGCAGTTTGTCCCCGGCCCTGGTTGGTCGTGCGGGTGGCAGCCACTCGATGTGTCCCTTCACGTCAATGTTTCTCTCTCTCTCTCCCTTCCTCTCTCTCCCTCCCACTCTATCTGTACAAAAAATGGAAAAATATCCTCGGGTGAGGATAAAAAAAAAGACAGAGAGAGGAAAAAGAGGCCAAAATTAAAGTATTTTACAATGTGTTTAAAATATTTCAAAATTTTAAAAAGTTTATAAACTAATGTACAGTATAAAACATTACTTTCTAAATTAGCTAATACTGAACCACATATTTCTTAATATTTTTTAATTCCTACATGTAGGCAGTGTGCTAGGCACTTTGAGTGACCCAGTTTCTAATGGAGTTTACAATACAGTCACAGACAAGTTAAAGATATGTGAAAAGTTAAATAACAGCTCAAGATATAAGAGTAGAATAATTATAAAATACAGGCACAAAGTAGTGCTTGATCAATTGCCAAAAGATGGTAACAGTGTAAGAAGCTCAGAGGAAGAAGATATAGTGAATGCAATGAAATTCACGGCTTCAGGACAGAGGAGGGAGAATTAACAAGCTGATATACAAAAGAAGTAAAGTAAGCATTTAAATCATTAAGGGAATTATCTGTTCTAGTTGTGAAATAATATTTTACTCTTAGGTGGATCAACATGGGCAGTAGCAGGAATGTTCTGATCATTCCTGCAAAAATATGCACAGGAATCAAAGGCACCCAGATATATCTGTTGATGCTATTCAAATAGCAATCTTTGTCCTTTGTTTGAATCAGGTAAGTGAATCTTTT